TTTTTCTAGACTTTAACAATATGCAATTTAACTGTGTAGAGTTCAACAAATTTTATTTTCTATTATAAAATAAGTTTGTGGAGGGTTTAACGGTGAACAATTTAACTGTGTAGAATTTTATGCAATTAATTTTTCATTACAAAATAAATATGTGTAGAATTTAACGATGTGGAATTTAACTGTGTTAAATTTAAGAAAATTAATCTTTTATTACAAAAGAAATATATGTAGAGTTTAACGTTGTGGAATTTAACCGTGTTGAATTTAAAGAAATTAATTTTTCACTACAAAATAAATTTGTGTAGAGTTTAACATTGTACACATTAAGTGTGTAGAATTTAAAAAATAAATTGTATAAGGTTTAACGGTGTGCAATTTAACTGTGTAGAGTTTGACGTGTAGGGTTTTAACGGTGTAGAATTTAAATTGGTAGTATTTGAACCGCCCCGGCACGAACACGAGGTGCATGCTCGGATAATACAGAAAAAACTTGGATAAAACGGATGGAACCGATATGCATTAACAATAATTATACCCAAAAGTTAATCTACTTTCATTAGATTTTAACTTTTATATACATTTGTGATTAATTTTCTTTGTAGCATATTAAATACACTAAAAAATGATTAAAATTTTTGAATTTTAGTTATTCATTCCTTGTTATCCAAGTTTTCGCCTATCCGAAGTGCTTCTTCTCCACATTACCTCAAATAATCGAGGTTCTACTGTATATAATTTTAATTATTTTTTATTTTTAAACTAAATTTTAACAATTATTATTATAACAAGGTTAATTGATTAATGATTCGAGGATTAATCGAGAAAACGTTATCTACACTTTGAGGCTATTTTATTTATTATTTATTTAAAGGGAATAATTTATGGTTAGCGCCAGAATATTTTACATTAAAATATCCAAAAGTTAATTAAATGAAATTTTTGATAATTACCAGACTAGTTCAGAAAATGATAGAAAAAACTTCCTAACAAACCGCGGAGAGTGGGAGGTAAGGAGAAAAAGAATTAATTAAACGGAATTTAACTATAATACTATTTATTCATAATCACTTCAATTAAGAAAAATTAAGAAAGTGGCAGAAGGCAGAATGACAAGGATTTCTTCTTTATTTATTAAATTTTTACAATAATAATGAGATTGATTCAGAAGAAACGACTCATACTATTAATTTAGGACTCACCGCTCTCTTAACGAAGACGATGAAGCCTCGTCCCATAATTTATAATTTACTACATTTTTAAATTGATTATACAAAAAAAAGAAAGAATATAGGAAAAACACAACTGTCCTGTACTAACACAAGGATGAAATGAGAGTAAAAATGGCTGACGAGTCAACTCGAAAGCGTCGCTAAAAAGCGCCCTCTCTTCTCGGTGTCATTCAGATTAATCAATATACAATAGTTTATTTTATCCACGATCGATGTACGACTGTCGGTAACGTAGATTCCGGAACTATCCTATGTAGAATATTCGGGACTCTCATTCAAATATAATAATATATACACCCTGGTGTCGTTTATTTACATTACAAAAAATTATTTAACTTTATTATTTGTAGGTTATTTGTACGCGACAAAATGCCGCGTTAGAATATGTAATTCATATCCTATATACCCTGGCGGATAGGTTCAAGCGTATTTTGAGCGAATTCGCATAGAAACCTCTTAACTTCGCGTAGAGTGAAATTTATCGATAAATTGTTAAAAAAATGATATAAAAATGAAAAATAAAGGTAAATTATTGTTTATATATATGATTTGTGGAAAAATTGTGGTAACCCTGGCGGATTGTATGCGATGCGAATGCTCCACGAAATTCGCGAAAAATTCATGGAACACGATAGTGATGCATTCAAGAGAGAAAATCAAGAAAAAATCGAGATCAATAACTTGTATTATACTTCAAGAGAAAGGGATCAAGTTTTTCTTGACAGTTGAATTTATAAAAACAATAATCAATCGAAATTCATCACAATTCTAGATTATTGTCTTAAAGGTTAATTTTTTGGTTTATATAATTCACTTATAAAAAAATGTGATTTATATTTATATAATTAAAATTATGATAATAATTTTATTATAAAATTAAAATTGAATTTTATTTTTGAGAATGTCTAATAGTATCATAAAGAAATTTCTCATATATTTACAGCTTTTCCAGGCATCTAAAATTTTTTTCGAGAGTTTAAGAAATAGACAAATGTTGTACATTACAGAAAATACATTTTTTAATTTTAATTTTGTATTTACGGAACAAAGCAATTTGGATTTGTATAACATTTACATTCTTAAATATAATATAAAATCATGTTTTCAGTAATTATTAGGTTAAATTAAACATTAAACATCTTATTGTTTAATTATCGTTTTTATTTAAAAATTATAAAAAATTTTATTTACTATATTAACTGAGAAATTAAAATTTAATCAATTATATTGAATACATTAAAACTGATTTTGAAAATATGCATTTAAATTTTTTCAATACTGTAATTCAAGTGCAACATTTTTTATTGTGTACAGATTAATAATTTATTTGCATTAAATATTAAAAATATCAGGCATAAAATTTATTAAGAAAACAGGACATAAATGAATTAAATTAATCAATTAATGCACGAAGGTGCATAACACATAACACATCGAATTACTTTTCGGCGCGGTCAAATTTTTCTTTTATAACAGAACTTAAACTGCAAGATGTCCAGGAATTGAGGCAAATACAGGTCCTAGCAGACTCATGATTCACGCGATTACGATGTTTCCTTATTGTGAGTCCAGCTTTAGAGAAAAAACGTTCTGCTGGTACTGAAGTTGCTTGAATACTAAAAAAGTCCCTTGCCATGCGATTGAGATTTGGATACACATTTTGATTTTCCTTCCACCATTGCGCAATATCCGTATTCTTATCAGCTCTTGGCTCTTTTAGATACCTCGAAATTTCGTGTCGCCATCCTGATTCAGAATATGATTTTTGCTCAAAAAGTGAAAATAAATTGAATTTATCATTTGTGTCCATAGCTTCATTTGGTTCGGTAGGTTGATATCTCAAATCTGGTGATGTATATATTTGTTTAAAAATCTGTTCAAATTTTTTTAACGATTCTGCGGCCATCTCGCGACCCCATTCTGTCATCTCAAAAGTTTCATACTTAAATCTTGGATCAAGAATCATAATTGAGCTGTATATCTAGTTGCATTTACGGTAGTGTTTTAGGAGCTTATCTCAAGCACGTTGAAGAGCATTTTTGAGACACATATCTGTCACAGTTTGTCTCCGCTTTTCGTTGATACTCTGTATTGATGTTTCTAATTTGTCTAACAACAAATTAAAGCCTAATATGACGAGCGGCAAGGTAATATATTTATCGCCACAGAGAGTTGTAGATAAGGTCTTAAAGTACATTAAATACTTTCTAATAGTATTCAAAAGATCCCATTCAGTCGTTGTTAAGTTAAGCAATTGCAATTTCGAATCGGTAGTGCAAAAAAACTCCAAAGCTGCTCTCATCTGAAGAGCTACGTCAATCATGTCACAAGAAGAATTCCATCTTGTGGACACGTCTAAAATCGGTGATAAAAATTTTACTCCCATTACATCACATGCTGATTTTAATTTATCACGTAGCTGTTCGGAATACTTCAATTTCTTAAAAAGAGTTCGCAAACGAACCATGACCTTCGATTCAGAAGTTCCTTCTTCCTCTTCTTGTTCTTCATAAACGTTCTCATGATTTTCAAGCAATTCTTCGCTGTCATCGTACTCATCATATTCTTCGGATACAACATGATTGTCTTCGATTTGAAGTTCGCGCAAAAAATCTTGAGCAGCTAGGTGAATTATATGCGCGAAACAACGGAAATGTAAATCATTTGCATCAAATTCTGTTCCCAATGAAGCGCTTAAAAGACTTGCTAATTTATCAATAAACGATGTGTTGGCTGAGGCATTGTCGATAGTTATTCCCTGTAGCTTACTTATCAAACCCTTTTCCTTTATAACACCTAGAAATAAATTGGCGATGTCCTTTCCAGTATGCTTTCCATTGGATGGCACAAAATCGATAACCAGAGATCTCGGAACCCAATTTTCGTCAATAAAGTGGGCAGTAATACCATAATATGATCTTGCTCTAATTGATGTCCAGCCATCAATCGTATACGAAATTTTTGAAGAGTTTTTTTGCAAGATTTCTAAAATTATTTTCTGAGTTTTTTCAAAATGAGATTGAAATAATGATTTCAATTTGTTGCGCTTCGGTAATTCAACTTGAGTATTTAAATATTCAAAAACATTTTTGGACTCCTCGCAATCATCGAAGAAATTAAAAGGAAGACACTTCTTAGCGCACCAAGTGACCAATAAAATTATAAAGATTGATCGACTTACCTGGTAGGGAAGATCAATCGAAATTATTTGAGCTCGTCTTCCGAAAATAATTACACCCGGTAGTATTTCCTTATTTACACCCAACAGTACAAGTTTACAGCACCCAGGTATCAAATTCTCGAAAATCCCCACTCTGCCTCTCTTCGGCCGGTGTCCTCTCTGATTACCTCACTTCGTTGTTTGAATTCGTTCTTTTTCAGATCACTTGGGATATATGAATGGGAGGGTGGGAGTGTAATTATTTTCGGAAGACGAGCTCAAATAATTTCGATTGATCTTCCCTACCAGGTAAGTCGATCAATCTTTATAATTATTTTTCGCTCGTCTTCCTCAATAATTACACCCGGTAGATGTTTAAAGATCTGTACTCGGTGATCTGAACGTCAATTTATTTGTTTTATTGAAAACTATATATTTTTGAATAATAGAACATTTTTTTTTTTTTTTTTTTTTATTATTATATAACGAAGAAAATTTTGGAACAAAGAACCAAGAATTTTTTTTTTTTTTTTTTTTACATTTTGTTGAACAATTACATGGGTAAGAAAAAAAAAGAACAATTACAATTAGTTTAGACTTAGAACTGCTATAGCGAATTCTTCTGAATGTGAAGAAGTAACCGGTTTATTATAGAACTTATTAAATGTTTCCGAAGCATGCGTCCACCCTGCAGTTTTACGTATTGTTTCTATATTAACACCTTTTCTATATGCAGCGGATGTAGACGCATGTCTCGTACTATAACCAGAGAAAATTTCTGTATTTATTCCACTTTCGTGAAGTGTTGATTTCAACCATCGGCTGATAGATTGAGTTGTGGCTCTATGAAACGGTTTTTTATAGGTGATAAATAAAAAACGTTCGTTTTCTGGACGTAAATTTTTAGTTTTTTCCATATAGTGTTGGAGAACTGATGCCACACAGAGTTCAGGGCATTCTTGAAAGAATGGCAAGACAATAAACGGTTGATACCTATTTTTTCCTGACGTTTTTACTTTTTCTGGTATTTTAATTTCTATTTTATTATCTAATATTACTATATTTTTTAATTCGATTAAAGAAAATGTCTGGACTCTATGACCTGTCGTGAGCGCAAGAAGCATAGCTAGTTTAAGAGTAATTTGGCGAAGATTTAATGACTGCAGTGGATGCAAATTTTTCAGGAAAGATAGAACTGGATTAGGATCCCATGTTGAAGCGTATTTCGGAGTAGGTGGTTTTTTATTGTATATTCCTTTGAGTATTCTTTTTAATATTTTTTCGTCTTCTAATTTAATGGAAAATAAAAAGGCAAGCGCGGATTTATGAGTGTTAACATTTGAATATGATATTTTTCTTTCTGAAATTTCTATAAGGTAATTAGATATTTTTTCTAGACTATATTCATACGGATTTTGTGTGTGTTTAATTGAAAATTCCCACCAATTTTTAAGAACGGTATTATATTGTTTCAATGTATTTTCCGAAATAGAGTTCAACATAGTAGGGATTGCTTTTTGTGGAATTTTATTTTCTATCCATTTTTTCCTGACAAATTCCCTGCAACCAGGGTAAGTGATTTGTATAGTGGATGCGGCAGGCTGAAAGGAGAAAGAATTAAGTCATATTGAGGTTGAAAATAGAGTGCCTTAGTACATAAAAGTTTATGAAAAAGCGGGTACCACGGTTGAGTGGGCCAATTGGGAACTATTAATATTCCTTCCGCGTTTTCTTGAATTATTTTGTCTAATATTCGCGATATTAATGAGAAAGGGGGGAACGCGTAAAAGTATTCGTTTTGCCAGCTTACAGTGAATGCGTCTACATTTTCTGAGTAAGGATCGGGACCCCACGATATGTACCTTTTGCATTTTTTATTAAGCATAGATGCGAATAGATCTATTGTGGGGTAATTAAATTTTGAGCAAATAATATCGAATACTTTATCGTTTAATGTATATTCTGTTTCTATGAATTGGGATCTAGACTGGCGGTCAGCGAGGTAATTGTCTTTGGTAGGAATATATGACGCAATTATTTCTATATTTTTTGTTTCGCACCAAAGCCATATTTTATTTGCAATATTATTTAATTTTGGGAATTGAACACTTCCTTTTTTATTAATGCAAGCTATTGCTGTTTTATTGTCTATGCGCAATAGGATTGCGCAGTCTTCATAATTTTTTGCAAAGGATTTTAACCCGTAAAAAGCTGCTCGTAATTCCAATTGATTAATATGCAAGTTCTTTTCCTCGTTTGACCAAAACCCCTTTGTTTCTATTCCGTTCGCGTATGCTCCCCAACCAGACTGTGATGCATCAGTATAAATCTCGATATCGAAGTTTGTTGGGGTTTTCATATTTTGATAAGATGAGCTTAAATTATTTGACCACCACTCTAAATCTTGACGTGTGTATGAAGGTATTTGAATTTTTTTATTATAATTTTGGGGTTCACTTTTTAGAGCTTGGAATTTTGCCCGTTCTAGATTTTTTATGTGTGCCCAACCATATTTAACAGCTGGGCACGCTGCGACTAATTTCCCGATTAAACTTGCAAAATCTCTTATTAAACAATAATTTTTGTTTTTTATTTTATTTAATAATTTATTTATTTTGAGTTTTTTGTCATCGGGTAATGTTAGGGTCATGTTTAGACTGTTATAGAGGAAACCTAAAAATTTTATTTCTTGAGAGGGTGATAAACTACTTTTTTTGTAGTTTATTAAAAAACCTAGTTTTGTTAACATTTTAAGTGAAAGTTTTACTGATTCGGAGCATTCTTTTTTTGTTTTCCCTATTATTAATAAATCGTCCAGATAAATGACGCAGAGAATGTTTAGTTTTTCGCGAAGGTATTGAATTACTGGTTTTGGGAGTTTTGTAAATATATAAGGGGCAATATTAAGTCCAAATGGTAGGCACTGAAATTCAAAGATTTTATTTTCATATTGGAATCTTAAGTATTTTTTATGAGGTTCGAAAATTGGCAAAAGATAATATGCATCTTTCATATCTATGGAAGCAAGAAAACATTTTTCTGATATTAATTTAGAGGCCGTCCTGTAATCTTCTAATTTAAAGTGATTCGTTTGGATAAATTTGTTAAGGTTTTTTAAATTTAAAATAAATCTATATTTTCCATTAGGTCTTAAAGCCATAAAATATCTGGAGAAAAATTCATTTTTCTTTGACCTCTTTTCTACAATTGCTCCCATATTTTTTAGGTCTTTTATCGCAAAATCATATTCTGCTTTTTCATTACAATTTATAATAACATTTGGTTTCACGTTTTGTTTTGGTAATTTAATGAAAGGGATTTTTATCCCTTGAATCCATTGTAAAATGGATTTATTTTTAGTAATACGTGTCCATTTGTTATAAAAATGTTTTAAGCGACCAGCGTGAAAGCTTACCTCATTTAACGTCTCCTGGTTGGACTCCGCCTGCGATGATTCTGATGATAATCCCTGTTGAATTTCTTCTTCGGACTCTGACGACGTCGCGAGTAGTTTAAATGCTCTCGTTGCTTTTTGTTATTTTTTGAATTATATTCCGACGATTGTGGTTGTTGGTTTGATGTGGATGGTTTGTTTGTGAAATTTTTTTTGGATATTATTTTTAAATCTTTTGCGACTTTTTGAACAGCTTCTGTCGCTTTTACATCTTCGGCAAACTTTGAACCTAAGAGGAATTCATCTCTACTACTATTTTCTATCAGCTTTCTTGAATTATAATTTAGGTAAGGCAGGATTTGGTATTTCCTGCTTGTAGTAATAGCGTGATGAATATTGCATAGCAGTTGACCAATGTCTGCGAGGGTGGAACACGTTTCTTTTGATTTTTCTTGATCTTCTGACTTTAGAACTCTATTTAATTCAACTCCCGTTGCTGATAGGGCATGGGCAGTTTGAAGTTGGAGTTTCTCCAAAAATTGATCATGTCGTGTGGCTTTATTATCCATGCATTGTTGGATTTCTGCATTTAATTTAGGTGGTGTCATCAGTTTGCAGTTTTCAAAAATTGGATATTTTTTCATTAATTCCTCCTTTTGTTCTTTATTTAATCCTTGTTTCAGGTATACATCCCAACGCAAACATATTTCCTCATGTAAAGGGTCAATTTGTTTATTTAAATTATCGGGATTTGAGCCGAGCAGGTCAATAAGTATATTTGGGTTTTCCTCGGTTGTTGTGGTTTTATCCTTGTCCTGTTCATTGTTTGTCTCCACAGTTTGGCCCGAAGAATGTGTCATTTCCTCAGTATCGCCTACAATAATAAAATTAATGTAGTGAGTCTCTGAAGTCTATAGCGAGACTATATGAGAATAATTGTAACTTTTTCGTATACAATTATAATATTATATATATATATATATATAAAATATTATAAGGTATAGACTTATAGCGAAGTCTTTTTATAATTGTAATTTTTTCTGGACCTATAGCGAGGACTTTTTTTTTTTTTTTTTTTTGATTTTATAGCGAAAATCGATTGTTACTTACTTGCAGATGATGATGATGACGAGGAGTCGTATTTACTCGCACTAGAAGAATTAGAGATATCATCTCTAATTCGTCGCACCTCTTCCAAAATAGCATCTAATTTTCTTTTCTTATTAGCACGATCACGGTGATGTTTAGATCGATCTTGGTTACGGTCACGATTATTGTATTTAGCACGTTTCATTTCTACTTATTAAATTTTTCGTGTTGCTCTGTCGGGTACAAATAACGAAGTGGGGTAATCAGAGAGGACACCGGCCGAAGAGAGGCAGAGTGGGGATTTTCGAGAATTTGATACCTGGGTGCTGTAAACTTGTACTGTTGGGTGTAAATAAGGAAATACTACAACTATAATAAAAATATGAAAATATCAATTATTTTCAAAATAAATTTTCTTTTGAATTCTAAATTTTTATACAAATGTTAAAATACACTAAAATAATCTTGTTCAATTATATAGTATGATTATTGGATTAACAAAGTATTTAGTATACTTGTTTAATTTTGACAAGATGTCAACATAAAAATAACCTTTTTTTTGTCAGATTGCGATGAGACACAACCATAAATATCTTTATAAAGATCATTATGATGGTTTTCCATATGACGAATGAGTCCTGAAGTATTGCAATTTTTCATTTTTATAATTTTTTCGATTTGTTGTTCACGGCAAATTATGCATATACCTTCCTTGTTCCTTTGATCGAGAGATTTAATTTCGAAGTTTGCTTTCAATCTTTTAGTTCTTTCACCCCTATTTTTAGTAAAATTAATATTTAAATTATATAACGTTAATTATCTGTCACACTCAATTTCAATTTAGTAATACGTAAAACCTTTCTGACGTTGAATCAAATGATCTTTTTTGGCTTGATTCTTCCATTTCGAGAAATTGAATTATTTTGCTTCCTCGTGGAGGAAGCTATGTAGTCCTTTCGTTTATAAAATTTTTAAAAATGTTGAAAACAAATTTTCCTCTATATAGAAACATGTTATATGAGATCCTGATCAATTGTCCGGATGTATGTATGTGTGTGTGTATGTGTGTGTGGATAGTTTTTGTGAACACGATATCTTTAACAGGTTTTAATGGATTTGGGTAAAATTTGGTAGGCTTATTTAACACATTAATCTCTCAAAAATGACGAGAAGATTTTTAAAAATACCCAAAAAAAAAATTTTATCGTCTTTTTTCCAAAATTTTTTTTTTAATTGAAAAAATTTTTAAATCGAAAAATTTAAGGTAATATATAATATAATCGTCTTCTTTATGTCAAGATGAATCGATTGATATATATATAAAGTATAGATTTGATTGAAATTTAAAGAATTAATGAAAGTTAAAAAATCAAAAATTCTCATTTTAGCTAAAAAATGATGTGTTTGATTAAATTCAAGTTTATATATGAAATAATTTTATTCCTTGCATTGAAACAAATCAATTAGTATATAGAAAGTATACATTTGAATAAAATTAAAAAAATTAATGAAATTTAAGAAATAAAAAATTTACGTCTTAGCTAAAAAATTGTGTTTTTATTTAAATTCAAGTTTAAACATAAAATAATTGTATTCCTTGCATTGAAACGAATCGACTGGTATGTATAAAGTATACATTTGCGTTAAATTAAAACAATTAATGAAAGTTAAAAAATAAAAAATTTGCATTTTAACAAAGAAATTTTGTGTTTATTTAAATTCATGTTCAAATATAAAATAATTGTATTCCTTTTTTTAAACTTTCATTAACTCTTTCAATTTAAATAATAATAATAATTTAAATATATATCATACATACCAATCGATTTATTATAATGCAAGGAATGCAATAATTTTATGTTTAAACTTGAATTTAAACAAACACAATTTTTTTATGTATATTAATTTCAGTGTTACTGCTTCCTCCATGAGGAAGCAAATTTTTTGCATCATATAATGAGGAAGCAAAATGTTCATGAAATGAACATAAAGGACACCCTACTTGTTTATTGATATTATCAATTGTAAAATTGATTTTCAAAACATCTATAACCTTTGCTTTGAACTGACAGTTTGAAAATAAACAAAAAGCAATATTATTGATTTTCTTGATAATTAAATAAGTCAAGATGGTTAGTTAAAAAACAAATGAATTTTTAATACTAACTTCTCAAGATAATTTCAATAACAATCGAGAATATATGAGAATCAAGATAATTGTGTCTTATTATGCATCACTAGAACACTAGGTTAAAATTGAAATTTCATAATTTTTTATACATTTTAGACAGAATTTCAATTTTAACCTCGTGTTCCATGAATTTTCCGCGAATTTCGTGGAGCATTCGCATCGCATACAATCCGCCAGGGTTACCACAATTTTTCCACAAATCATATATATATATATAAACAATAATTTACCTTTATTTTTCATTTTTATATCATTTTTTTAAACAATTTATCGATAAATTTCACTCTAAGCGAAGTTAAGCACAATCGATCAAAATACGCTTGAACCAATCCGCTAGGGTACATTTTCAATTCCAAACACTTTGAAGAACTATTAATTGACAATGATAAAATAAATATTAATTTACATTAAATAAATATTACTTGAGTCAATTATAAATGATCTTTGTTTAAATTCCAAAATTGTTTCTTTAATTACAGTTTACTTGGTTCAAAAAATATTTATTGCTTCCTCGTGGAGGAAGTTTTGTAGTCCTTTCGTTTATAAAAATTTTCAAAATAGCGAAAACAAATTTTTCTCTATATAGAAACATGTTATATGAGATCCTGATCAATTTTCCGGATGTATGTATGTGTGTGTGTATGTGTGGAAACCTTTTTTGTGAATCCGTTAACTTTAACAGGTTTTTATGGATTTAGGTAAAATTTGGTAGGCTTATTTATCACATTAATATCTCAAAATGGACGAAAGGATTTTAAAAAATACCCAACAAAAAAATTTTATCGTCTTTTTTCAAAAAATTTTTTTTAATTGAAAAAATTTATAAATACAAAAATTTAAGGTAAAATATAATATAATCGTCTTCCTTACGTCAAGACAAATCGATTGGTATATATAAAGTATAGATTTGATTTAAATTTAAAGAATTAAGGAAAGTTAAAAAATCAATAAATCACATTTTAGCTATAAAATTTTGTAATTTTTGAAATTCAAGGGCATATATGAAATAATTTTATTCCTTGCATTAAAACGAATCGATTGGTATATATAAATTATACATTTAATTTAAATTTAAAGAATTAATGAAAATTAAAAATTCACATTTTAGCTGAAAAATTTTGTATTCTCAAATGTTTATATTATTATATTATTTTTGTATGTTTATTTCAATGTTAATGCTTTCTCTACGAGGATGCAAATGTTTTTGCTGATCGTAAAGAGGAATTAAAATGTTCATGTAATGAACATCTGAATTTACAACTTGTTTACAGTTATTTTTATAATTAAATGTTTAATGATTGCTTAGGAATAAAAATTAATATACAAACTACTTTCCATTTTTACGGTCTTAAAAAAACTATGTCCATCTCCAACGAACTTATCTTCTAAAATGTATCTGTTTCTTGCCGGAATTTACCATCGTTTTTTACTAAAATTAAATTTTACCTTATTTTAGTTGTTTACTTGGATTTAGTGGTTCGATATTCTGAAATTAATTATTTAAAAAAATTTTAAATAGTAGATGTTTTTAAAGTTGTTTAAAGATTTTTTTTAACTTGTTACTTTGCGTTTTTTGGGTTCGCGTCTACGAATCTAATATCAGCCCTAAAAGTCCTTAAATAACAAGTTTCAAAAGGTTAAAACTGTTTTAAAAAACATCGGCCTTTTCTAGTCCGTTATTTTCAAAATATAATCTATATTTAAATATTTTGAAGCTTTGAATCCAAATTAATAAAAATAAATATTATGTAATATTTTAATGGTTAAATTTTTTCCAGAGTCAAATAAGCAGTTCTTTGGTGAATCGAGGTTGACCGAATATAATGGCTTATATTTGAGACGTCAGTGAGAATGTGAGAAAAACTCACCTGGTGATGTCTTCTTTGGGAACGTGTGCAGATGAAGAGGACTCAGAGGATGTGGAAAGTAAAGCATCTGCGATGTTGTCGCCATTGCCTTCGGGATACAAATACATGTAAGTGGAAAGATAGTGGTTAAATGGAATCTTTTCTGATAAAGGCATCGCATATGGAGGATGCTGCCCTTAACATAAGAAAAGAAGAGCTCGCAACGGCTAGGATTGAAGTCCTTATAGTCGTTGTCAGGGCCTTCTTTAAAGCTTCATTTAAAAAGAACTCTCTGAATATTTTTCTAATTAAAAGTTGTAAGCTCGAACATTCAAGTTCCTTTTTTCAAATTATGTTATTAAACTGTTTAATATTTAGATGACAAATAAACTGTTAGTGTTAAATATTTTTAACTTATTAAAACTAGAATAAACTCAAGCAAAAGAAGGTCACTAAGCTAAACAGAAAAACATTGAAATAGTCAGAAATGATAAAAAGAGATAAATTCGAAACGTAGAAGAAGAGAAATGTGTTTAAAAAAATAAACGGAAAAATAAAACAAATTATTTTGATCGACAATTAAAAATGAAGCAAAACACTATGGTGCAAAAGTTAAGTTTATGTGCAAAAGAGAGACAAATTTTGAGTGAAGATTTTAATGGTTATGCAATACGTGCATTGTGTCGCAAGTGGTACTTAAGTACATGTAAGAAAATTGAGTTTCAAAAAGAATGAACATGAACCAAATGTATACTTGATTTTGTTTGACGCTGATCACATCTGATCCTCCTGACTTACACTGGAGTACAAGCAAGAAATATCATTTAAGCAAGAAAGCAGCATGCCAGGGGGGCGAAGGGGCCTAGTAGCCCCTCAAAATACATTCCTGGAAAATATTATACGAAGAAGTAGCAGTCAACGTAAGTAACTTCTTTTTATCTTTTTCACATTTATGAAAGAAAACAATTTCTTTTATCCATACATCCATTGCCATTATATAATCTAATAGACTTGAAAAAATATTTTGTGATTACTACTCTGTAACAGCCCTCATATTGAGATTTGAATTTTTAAACAATTATTTTAAAAAATTAATAATTTGGGTAACATATATAACATTCTTCCTGATAGCTTTCCTACTGCTATTTAACTGCTTAGAGCAGCTATCCAAATGTTTTAATTAGGTTTTTTACTCAAATTCATAAAAAGCAGGATTTTTGACTAGGCTATATCCCTACCCAGATAGCAAAATAGGCTCACAGTGTCAGAAATGTAGCTTGCACGTGTGCCAATTGACCCGTAGCGTGTTCTTACTAGACCAAAAAGATGCGTCTTTATGCTGATTCTACACTCACCTAAAAATGAGTGAGCGGTCCGCTATTCCGTGACGCTCCCCATATTTAACTATATCTATATATATAAAAAACGTAACGCAAATGCAAACCGCTCGTGCAGTTTTAATTCAGTGTAGAATCAGCATCATATGCGACGCATGTGAGTTGCAAGCGTGAAGGTCGCTTGCATGATGGTAAAATAAGTTTAGATCATAGTCCCTCTAAATTTATTTCAAAAAATTCCACCATTAATCTTCAGGATAAATATGAAGCAACGCAACAATGAAATAAAGAAGTAATTCTTTTTTATTTTTACTAAATTTATAAATCTTATTTTTGTATTTATTAACTTGAAGATTGATTAAATTTGAGAAAATATTAAATAAATAATAGTAACTTTTAATTTATTTAAAATAATAGAATAATAATAATTAAATAAACAAGGAGGGGGTCCTTTATGTTTATTTCGTAAACATTTTGCTTTCTCATTGTGTGAAGCAAAAAATTTGCTTCCTCGTGGAGGACGCTATGAATTTCTCCGATTCAATTGATTGATTTAAAAAATTTCGAGTTGAAAACTGTTCTAAATTAATTAAATTTTTTGAAAAATTAAGAAAATTTTAATTCATTTTGGGTGTAACATATACTTCATATATACGAATCGATTCGTTTCAATGCAAGGAATACAATTATTTTATGTATTAACTTGAATTTAAAAAAACACAAAATTTTTTAGTTAAAATATAAATTTTCGATTTTTCAATTTTTATTAATTCTTAAAATTTAAATCAAATCTATACTTTATATATATCAACCAATTCGTTTTAATGCAGGGAATAAAATTATTTCATATATAAACATGAATTTAAGAAAACAACATTTTTCAGCTAAAATGTGAATTGTTGATTTTTTAACTTTCATTAATTCTTTAAATTTCAATCAAATCTATACATTATATATACCAATCGATTCGACTTGACGTAAGGTAAACTATTATATCATACATTACCTTAAATTTTTCTATTTAAAAAATTTTTCAATTAAAAAAAAAATTTTGGAAAAAAGACGATAAAATTTTTTTGGGGTACTTTTAAAAATCTTCTCTTCATTTTTTAGAGATAAATGTGATATATAAGTCTACCAAATTTTACCTAAATCCATTAAAACCTGTTAAAGATATCGTGTTCACAAAAATGATCCACACACACACATACATAAATACATCCGGACAGTTGATCAGGATCTCATATAACATGTTTCTATATAGAGAAAAATTTGTTTTCACCATGTCTAAAAATTTTATAAACGAAAGGACTGCAAAGCTTCTTTCACGAGGAAGCAAAATAATTAATTAATATATAAAATAACTTTATAGGGTCAGTTGGGGTAAATGGAGACAAGAGGTTTTGAAGCTAAATTTACAGTTTTAAAATTAAGTTCAACGTCAATGTCTCGCATTTCAAAGAAAACAGACTTAAAAATCATACTAAATTTTTTTCTTATTCCTTATGACTCCTATAACAGAAATTCACTTGAATTTTTTATTTTTGTCAATTTGGTTAATAATGACAAGCAGTCCCCATTTACCCTGAGTTTTCAAATTTTTGGGGTAAATGGGGACAGCTTGTCATTATTAACCAAATTAACAAAAATCAAAAACTCAAGTGAATTTCTGTTATGGGAGTCATAAGGAATAAGAAAAAAATTTGGTATGATTTTTAAGTCTGTTTTTTTCAAATGCGAGACAAAATACTGAAATGAAAAAAAATAAAATAATTTCAATTGGTTCAACTATTATATATCTACTACAAATTTTTTTCAAGTTTTTTTATCACTTAATACAGTAATATACTTAAGGAAACTTTTTTCTTAAAACTTTCTTGGAAACTATGCTGTCCCCATTTACCCCAAATTTTATGAAATTTTCTAAATTTTGGGGTAAATGGGGACAGTCAGTTTCATGCGTTTAAAGCTTATTTAAATTTTTTTCTGCTGCATAAAATTAATCCTAGGAATATAAATAACAACTTTAAAAAAATAAACCTGCAAATATTACGTTTTAAAGGAAGAAACTTACGTATTTTGTGAAAAATAGTGATTTTGTCCCCATTTACCCAAATGACCCTATTAATAAATATTTTTAGAAATTTCTCATCAAATTCGTATTTTAACTTTTCTGCGTATTCGCATTTTAAATTCTTATCAAACTCGCATCTAAAGCTCTCAGTGAGTTCGTTTTCCGAATTCGCCACCGGGCGGATATTTTACTATTCACAGCAAGTTGCCAGGGAGTTCGCAATGATATATATGTATATTTATATATTATAGAGGCATTAAAGTTTTTAAAAATAATACGTAACAACTACGATTGATCCCCCCTCCTCATGTAAAAAATAATAACATTTTCTCGAAACTCCTCCTCTCCCAAAACATATTAGGTAATTTATGGACGGCCCGTTAGTAAGCAATATATAAATTAAGTAAGTATAAAATAAAATAATAATACATAATAACATTTTTAGTAAAAAAAAAATATCCATTTTTAGGCAAATCCAAGCACTTTTTGAAAAAATTGTTCGCAATATTTGATCCGACATTTTGAATTTTTTTTAAAACGGACACCGAATTCATAATAAGTGACCCTAAAAAACCCCGAGTATGCATTTTTAATCAAATTCAAGCATTTTTTGAAAAACTCGTCCGCCATATTGGATCCATTTTGAATTTTCGAAATCTGACTGTAGATTCTTAAAAACCCCCGAGTGTTAAGTTTAAAGCAAATCCAAACACTTATATAAATTCTTCAAAATATGTCCGCCATATTTTGAATTTTTGAAATCTGACTCCAGATTCGTAATCAGTGAGCACGAAAACATAAAAAACTAAAATGTTATTAAAAATGTTGTCTAAAATATCAATAAAATGACTAAATTGTTAAACTTTTTTTTATTTATTATCAATGTTATACCTCTTCCCAGTCAGCACAAAAGCTTACAAGTTGTGCCAGATTGCAGTTCAAACATGTAGCAAGTTTGGTGCAAGTAACAAAATGTCCTCTTACGGCAAGCTTGACTAACTACCTTGTCGTGAGAGGACATTTTGATACTGGCACCAAATTTGCTACATGTTTGCACTGCAATTATAGTTGAATTGTATAATTTATCATTTATTCCATGTAGCAGTGACCCTTTATTATAGAAAAAAATTACCCGAAAAAAAGTTACATTAAATTTTGTAAGTGGTACATATATGTACCGGTGCACGGAAAAAATAAGATCGTCAATCATTAAGAGACTAGTCTGTCACTTTGAGACGGGACACTTTTTCCGTAGAATTTTAGTTAACTTTCTTCAATAACTTAAAAACATCGTTGAAATATTGAAAACGAGTCATAGAATTTTTAGAATTCAGTATGTTAGCAGTTATTTTTGATTTAATGTTAAACTATTAGGAATAGATGTTTGAAAAATACATAATATTTATTAAATGTCATTTAAACTTTCAAATATTTTTAACTGAATTCTTTAAAAGTAAAGAATTTATCGAATACTATACGAGTGTGCGCAACTTTAGTAAACGTTTACGAAACATTAGTGAAAAGTCTGTGAAACGTTATATGACTATGGCAGACGAGCTGCGCAGAGATGCGTTGCGCATTTCTTCCAAAGTTCTGCTACAGCCCATATGTTTCTGCTATACACTATATACGCAAAATGTCAATATGAAATTCAACAAATAATTTGCAGTCAATATCTGCCTAAAAATTGACCTCGACAAAAATGAATTTTCTTTTATATTTCTGACTAATTGACAAGTAATGTTCAGTGGAAAATCTTTTCTCGAAAGAGGTGAAAAATCTCATCATGTAGTATATAAGAACAGTGACTTTCAGATACATTTTTGAAAAGTACGTGAAAAATGCATTAAAATTCATTATAGATAAATTAAAATCCATTAACTTTTTGTCATAGTTATACGGATTTGAAAATGACAATGTTACCCTTAACGTCAAAACTTCAACCCCCTCGACTTTCTACAAATATTTTTTTAATGAGTTTATATTTTTGGGATTTATTACTTTCATATAGGACAACAATTTACCAAAGTATGAAGCCAATCCCAGAACATTGACTTTTTGGGCTGGGGCGATTGAAAAAGAATCTCTCATATATATGTAAGTTTAGGTTATATGCGTCATAATTCGTAAATGTGTGTAGGTTTAAAGTGTAAAAACTATTGAACTGTGCAACGAGAAAGTGTATTATCATTCTGTGCCAATCAGTGTTTGAAATTACTAATAATTGTGAAAAAAAATAATTTTTTTTTGTTATTTATCAGTCTAACCATTTTTTGCCAGTCATAGAAAATTTAACAAACAGTTTTCTAAAGTTTAGTGAACGTTCATTAAAGGTTCATGAATTCTTTGTAAATAGTAACAAACAGATACTTTTAACCTTTAAACGATTTTATATTCGTCTCAAAGTGACAGACTATTCTGTTAATGATTGACGAACTTATTTTTTCCGTGTGGTACAAAAAGGTTAACCCTCACGTGCCGAAGTTCATAAAAAACAAGATTCAATAGC